GACACATATTTGTAATTTGAGCTATATAGCCAGTATAGGGGGGTTGTTGAAGCTGGATGTTCCATTTAAAGTCAGCAAGAATGTTTACCCTTAAAAAAATGTTGTGAAAAAAAAACCCACTTTAATTTATGGCTCTCAAGGACCTAATACCTAGCAAACTGCCTGTATCCAGAGCAACAAAATCACATATGAAAGATTTCTTTTGTACATAGTACCTGGCTAGTGGCTGCTACTGCCATTGACAACAGCAGGTAGGCTCATGGTAACAGTGTGATAGACAAAAGAGAATGGAACTGGAATGCTGAATCCAAGGACCAACAAACAGTCCAGAGATAATGTGCTGGGGAAGCCGAGGGTCATCAGAAATTGCAAAAGAATCACCATGGTTATATATGCTAGCTAAATGTTGCTACTTCTATAGCACTGTTGATGCCTGATAGGCTTGAACACATAAGGTTGATTATTATGCTTCCAGTGTAATTGATATTCCATTTACATTCAGCATGACAAAATTCCACGGCATGCCCTTACAGAAGTCTCATCATTTTGTAGATAATTATACTGAAGAAGAGAGGTAATACCAACTTGTTGGTGCCTTCACAGAGGTTTATTCATATAATGGTAACTACATGAGCTATTTTGGATGTCATGAATTTTACAGTGGATAAATTTGTACACAAGGCACCACTCATTTGGCAAAACCTGTGAGTCCCACCAATGTGGTTCTGGTTTTTTTATACACTGAAGCCACATGGAAGCGTCACCAACATAGAGAAGTAGCTCTGCATGTGAATGATGCTTTCACTTAGTATTCTTCCATAGCAATCATTTAACATGGTTTAAAATGGTATTTTCTGAGACAATTTGACTGGGGAACTGAGTTAATAATACTTACTGAACATCTCACTGCAATTATATTAATTAAAAAACTAGGAAAAGGGTTGGAAACCAAAAAGACTTGTACAAACAAGAAAAAGTTGCAGCTTAATGCTTCTCCGAGAAGTACAAAGAAAAGACTTTGCAGGAATATGCCAGTGAAAAAAGCCCACTGTACAACAGGAGATAGATGAATGTTGATCACTACTGACCAAGTTAAGACAATTTGATTGCAATTCCTTGGGAAACTGCTCACTTGTCATATCTGGCCAGGTGGTGAGAAGAATGATCAAAGGTGGTGTTAGGCACCTCTCTTCAACAGCCATGATTTGACTCTTTGCAGATGTCAAGCAGTCTGTTATGCAAATATGGCTCCTGCCCTGAAGCATAACAAAGAGTACAAGAGAGCTGATCAGGCACCCTCACCTCCTGCTCCAGGCAGGACCTCTGGAGCAGAAATGTGGGTGGGTGTGATGGGGGGGGGCTGATCAGCACTCAGAGAAAAGGGGGGAATCAGCTGGGCAGTGCTGTGGAAAGGGGCTGTGCCCCTCCCCCCATGTGAACCTGAGGGAAGCAAGAATCTTCTGGGATCTTCTGCCCACTTGGAGGCAGTACTGCTCAGCAGGTTTCCCTCTGCTCCTCCCACTCACACATGCCAGAGTGAAGCCCCTTGCATATGCCAGTGAGTGGGAGAAGTGAGACACAGCACTGGGCAGCACTGTGGAAAGAAGGGATGCTAGTCTAGTTAAAAACAATATTTTAACAATGTTTAATATTTATAGGTTTTAATTGTGCAGCCGGGGTGTTTCCGAGTTTTAACTGTATTTGTATGATATTTATTTATTGTGTGAGCCATCCCGAGGCTATATAACTTTAGATAGATAGTCTATTGACTTCCCCTCTGCCCCCTCCACACTTTTCAGATGGAAGGCCCTTGCAAGCACCAGGGAGCAGTAGGAGTGAGAATCAGCTGGATGGTGGTGCCACACATTCCCCTTTCTCACTCCCACTTGTCAGAAAGACATCTCAGGCCCAATGCCCACCAAAGCATCTTTCTGGCAAGTTACTTTGACAAAGGGGAGGCAGTACTTGCTCCATCCCCATTCTCTCTCCTGGTTGCCAAAGAGGCATCCTGAACTTGGGACAATCCTCCGAGGTATTTAACAGCCAATCAGTTTCAGGTCTCCTGTTCACATGTGAGAGCGGCAGCAGAGAGGGAATCCACTGAGGTGTACACAGCCCCCAACTGGGCATTGCTTCCCAGCTAATTCTCACCCCTCCTGTTCACACACAAGAGGTGCTTCCCTCAGGAACACAGGAGAGGTGGTGGAAGGGGAATCAAGTGAGTGGCACTGTTCCTTGCCCAGTATCAACCAGCTAAGTGCCTGCTCCGGCCCCAGGGAAGATCTTTAGGGCAGGAAGGGGGTGGAGCAACTGTCAACTCCTCTGATAGTTAGCTAAAATGGCAACCACCATTGGCATTCTCTGGCTAGCCACTCTTGCCAATTGGATTTATGGCGCTGGTGTTGGTACAACACTGAATTGTACATTCCAGGTTCAGATGATACAACATTCCATTGTACTGGGAAGCCTAGAACAGGCAGCTAGGTTTGTGGTTTTTAAAAACCAAAAATACAATGCTGAAATATTATGACTTCAGACAACACAACAGACCAACAGTGGTAAAAAATTCCATTGCTTGTCATTGCATGCAAACCCACCCAATGTGTTACTCTTGGTAGAGCAAAACCTTTAAACAAAATCCTAAGTCTGACAAGTCAGTTTATGAATGACTGTCTGGACTTAGTGTGACTTCAGGAGTATATTACCAACATATGATACCTTGTATTTGACAAAGGTATTTGAATGGCTAACTTACAACAAGAAGGAAATTGTCCAAACTTAGCATTTTCCTCTAGTCCCTAAGGTCAGGAGAAATAAGAGCAGAGAAAATCTCACTGGATCTGTTAAATCATCTATGTGCTGCTCCATATAGCTTTTTCAGGGGACTATAGCATACCAGTCCAAAAGACACTATGTGTCCCACCTGAGGCCTGCGGTGATACACCTACCTGACATTTCCGGGATAAAATCACTTGTACTCCCCAAGACTTTGACTCCAGTGATATAGCTGGGGAATCAGGTGAGGTTTGAAGGACACAGCCTTATCCAGTTTTCTTGGATGAATTTTGGTTGGTACAACTTGAGGACTTTGACATGGTACTTAGACAAGTTTGTGCAATCACTCCTGTATGGGGTCCTTGTCCCTCTTGACTTATAAAGAATATGCAGGAAGGAACAGCTAATTAGGCCAGGGAGGTGATTAACACCTCCTTGTGAGGGGGAGTGGTGCCATATAGTAAGAAAGAGACAGAGATGAGACACTGCTGAAGAAACCTTCAAATCTGTCTCTCTAGAGCACTGCTTTAGCATTTTACCAATGTCTTCAATAGGTTTCTGAAAAAGAACAGAGTTAACTGCAGAGTCAATCTGAAGCAATACAAGGGCAGTTCTCTGGAAGTTATTCAGTGTATGAAATGGTTTCTTACTTATTTAATAAAAATCTATAGAGCAACATAGATTATTTCAGCTCTTTTCTCACCCCAAAGAAATGAATCCCTCTCTCATTAGCCTCCACATAGGTTCAGATGTTATACATTGTGGTAATTATTTCCAAATCACAAGTGCAAACACTCACTCTGATTGGAAAATTAGCAGATTTCAAACTCGGATAATTTGTTCTTAATGAGGAACTTGTTGAACTGAATTTAACAATTAGCTCACTCCCTTTACTGGCTGAGTGTGGTAAGGTTATATGGATAAGAACAAATATTCATGTAAGGATTTTCAGAGAAAAAGAAAATAAATCTAGGTTGTAATCCTGTGCACACTTACCTGGGAGTAAGTTCTCCTGAACGTAATAGAATGTGTTCCTGTATATACATGCATAGGATCAGACAGCATAAACATGGTAGTCTAGACTATTTCTTTTGGCATTTGTTCCTTCACTGCTTTTCTGAAGCTGCCAATTCTGAGACTATGATTTAGGAAGAGAGTCATAATTAATCAGAGACTGCAAAGTGGCAAACCTGCTCATGTGGAAGAGATAAAACAAATGATATGGATACTTAAAAAAAAAAAGCAAAATGTTAAAAATATCATTTTTTATTTTATTGTTCACTGCTTTGAAATCTGTTTAGATATTGATCAGTATATAAGTGTTGTAAATGAATACAATAAAAATCTTAAGTTGTTTGTAGAGTATATTTCTTTTACTAGCATAGACCCAAGGAGTTAACTAACTAGTATGTACAGTTCAACAAATTAGGCATTTAACTCTACGGCCTATCCCAGCTGTGAGGGGATGCATTTGTTCAGATTCTGGCTCACTCTCCTTATCTGCAAAGCACTAGTGGTGCTCAAGAAGTAAATGTTCACCTCCTTTTTGCCTGCCCTTCACTGGAATATCCTATTTCACGCTGTATTCCCAACATAAGCCAGATGCCATTCCATACAGTACCACAGCTGAGCATATCAAAGGGATAAGTGTGCAAAATGCTTGATCATTGTAGGGATAATCTGAATCATTTAACCTTCATAAAGGCAAAATAACACCCCCCCCTTTTTTTGCTTTTGTTGCAGTGCACAGCTTAGAATGAAGATCTGTAAAAGCTTTACGGCAAACAAGAGTACATAATTTCTGACAGTGGTGTAAAAATTAACTGGGGACATTATAATGTATGTAGATCTCCAGCCTAGTTTTTGTTTTGCTTTTCTATATTTTAAGAATCTATTGAGTCAATATCTAGTCAGCTACCTAACACAAGCTAATCCCATAGGCTTCACCAGACAAATATTTCCCAAGACTAAAGTTTGCAAAGCTGAGTTCACCTTCTAATAATTCTATCAATCATATTTACATCAAAGTGGATATGTATATGTTATTACCCTATTGTTCCTTTAACCCAGTGTCTTTTTCTTGCTTTTTAGTTCTGAATGACTAGCTAATGTAGATTTATTCCAATACTGTTCTTTCCATTGCCATGTACTGTGTAACTACAGCAAAATGCATTGGCTGAAATGCAGTCATAGAGGCAATATCCCAGCTAATATATGATCAATATCTAAATGGATGTTGTTTCCTTTTCACAAATGTTGGCTTTCTCACTGATTGTGTTGTTCCGCTTTGTGCCCTTTGTTGCCTGGTCTGAATCCTGTAGAAATTCCAGGTCATATCTTTTCCTGTAGACAACTCGGGAAATCAAAGTTATGAGAAACATTTCCATAATCAGCAGCTGTTGGTTCATATCTGGGAAATTGAAAAAAAAAGTAGGAATAAGTTTAAGGACTGGTAATGAAGCATAGTGAGGTCAGATTTGTTCCTGCTAAATTGTTGGAATGTGTAATGTTTATAAAAAATAGTTGGATTTTTATAATGATTCTGCAGTCTTTCAGTCTGATGGATATATTCAATTTCAGAAATGCTTTTGGGGGTCATAATCCAGCAGTTGGCAGAACTGAAGGCAAGAGGGCAGAGCAAAAATTCAAAAGATACTAGCATGCTGCAGCTTAAAGCTCTTACTGTGAGTAAATAAGCCTCAACAACAGCATATCTATTTAGAATAGGGCAAAAAACTGCAAGATCACTGAACAATCAATGGGGAAATTCCACTGGGCCAGGGAAACAAGAAATGACCATCTGTAGAACCCTGAACCCCAGGTTGGGACCCCAGCAAGGCTAGATTTGGTCCCTGGTCCTGAAATTCTTTACTCCTGAGAAAAGGTAGCAAGAACAAACATTTCACATTGTAAATTCAGGAGAAATGTTTTGAGAATGCACATTTATAGGGCAGGAAGGAGTGAAATAAATGATTATTGTGTTTCACATTCACACCTGTAATGTATCATGGAATTTGGAAATGTTTTTATACATATAATGTTGTAGGCATCAATTAAGTGGCTTGAATTTCAGTGACATTGTTTGAGCATAGATGATTTAGAAATGAAAATATTTCCTTAGGAAAGTAGCTTAATAAGTCTTATATAAATGAAGTTAAAATAATTAGGTAAATTTGATAGCCTCCAAAGAGCATTTGAAGGGAATTCTGTACATACAGCACTGGGTGCTTTCCCTTTGATTAAGTTACCCTTTTTTTGCCTGTAGACAAGCCTGATAGGCCCAAAGCTAATAATTAATCTTACTCTAATATGGTGTCTTATGTGTGGGAATCAAATACAATGAGTTAAAAAGGGTTGCCTACGTTCAAATAATGCATTTTGAGAGAACCAGGGTGGTGTAGTGGTTAAGAGCATGGGACTGGGACTCAGACTATCTGGGTTCTAGTCCCTGCTCAGCCATGGAGCCAACTGGGTAACTTTGGGCCAGTCACAGACTCTCAGCCCAACCTACCTCACAGGGTTGTTGTTGTGAGGATAAAATGGAGGAGGAGAATGATGTAAGCTGCCTTGAGCCCTTTGTAGGAAAAAGGCAGGATATAAATTGAAAAATAAATAAAAACCTCTAAACAAGGCCTATGTCATACCATTGGTCTCATCATGGGGATTACTTCCAAACAAATGTTCTTAAAATTGCCTCTTGAGATTATTATCATATATGAAACATACAATTCTCTCTTGAGTAACTTATGTGAACCTTTGGGTGCTTTTAAGATGATTTAGAAAAGCGAAACAGAGGGGTTTATAGTTTAAATGAGAAGTCTAGCCAGTGGAGGTCTGGCATTCATTCATTACAAACCAACTAAAACAAACCAGATAGATAGATAGAGAAGAACTACTAGAGAAGTCTTACATTTAAAAGCATTCTTATAGCATGATCCTATGCATGTTTGCAATGCCAAGGAGTCAGTTGGAGGCGTCACAAGTGTGCAAATTGTTATGTAATGATACAAATAAACTTGACTGTAGGAAATCTGTGATTCAATCCTCTGTATGCATTCGCAATAGGACATGTGCAGCTACAAATGGGGAGGGGGAGAGAGAAAGAAGAACAAGAGATAGGACTCTTTCTCCCCAAGTCAGTTTTTCTGATGTGAATATCTTTTCTTACCCACCTACCAAGCTGCTATTGCAATTCAGATTGCAAAAAGGGCTCAAGGCAGATTTCTTCTCCTATAATGGCATCTTTCTGTTAAGAACTGGGGATTCATTTGTTCTTTCAAAACATGACAAAATCAAATCAAGGAGAACCAGTCATTAATCTCTCACTGTCAAGTCTAGTTTGATTTTTTCAGTGCAATCCTATAGATGTTTACTCAGATGTAAGTCTCACTGAGTTCAATAGAACTTATTTCATGGCAGGTGGTACAAGAAGGGTGTTGGACTTCTTTCAGCCTAAAGTCTATCCTTGCCTTTTTTTAAGTTTTTGTCCTACTTAGCATGGAAAACTATGTCTGTTGTCTGTGAATCTTGAGAAGAATCTACTTCAGCCTGTCAAAGCAGCTTAAGTTCAAGTGACTTACAAGCTCCTCTTGCTGAAGATGAAAGTGGAGGAACACAAGCAATTACTTCTTCCATAGCCAGTACATTGATGATGGTTGCTTGGAGCTGATTCAAAATAAGTACAAACTGCAGAATTGCAAATAGTAAGAGAGAACAATACATAAAAGGCCATTTTGGTTTACCTTGACTGTGCATTATTGAACACAAAACAACAGGAAAGCCTTCTCACGTCTCTCTACCTTTCTCCAGCCTAGTACAACTCCCTAATGTTAAAGAAAGATATACATCCACCAGGGCCATACTACATGAAACATGCAAAATGTGAAAAGGTGATTGCAGAAATTGGGAGCTCCAGACACACTCATGCAAGCCAAGAAGCCATGGAATTCCATACACTCATACATCACCTTGCTCCACAATTCAGATCTTGCTGCTTTTTCAAACACTTTTTGCAAGCAGACCACTTCTGTTTTCCACCACAGTAAGGTAAGTGCTTGAATGGATGAGGAATGCCTCCAACACACCATCTGATATCTGAGCAGGCAGTGCACCTGCTCTTCCTCTTGCCACAGCTTTTGCTTCCTTTGGTGACCTTCAGCTCAAGTCCAACTGCTTTGGATATAGGAAACCTTTCTGTTTCTCCATATTCTGTCCTCAGAGTAGCTTTTGTCCGTGTTACAGATTACATGACAAATGCTGAAAACACTCATTTCTTTCAGGACCACCCATAACTTCTTGCCATCTACACAGTCAAAGGCTTTGCTGTAGTCTGTAAAGAAGAGACTGACCATCTTTTGAAATTCTTTGGAGTATTCACCTAGCTAATGTATATTTGCAATATGATCTTGAGTGCCACTTCCTTTTTGGAATTCAGCCTCAACATCAGACATTTTCATTCCATAGAGGGTAAAATTACATGTTGCAACACTTCGCTTGCATGAGAAATTGCAATGCTCATAGAGTTGCTGTGCTCCTTAGTGTCTCTGATCTTGAGGACTGGAATGTATATTGAACATTTCCAATCTTTGAACCATTGTTTTGTTTTCCATATTTGTTTGCATATTCTAGTTAGGATTTGGATTCATTCAGTCACTGCTAGTGTTGGGTCCCTCTGACATTTGTGGACTTTCTTTCATACACAGCCCAGTCTTAGAAAGTGAGCCAAGCTAAGAGGAAATCCACATTTACATGTTGTGCAACTGGCAGCCTTCTGCATCAGGTGCAGCAGCTCAAACAAAAATGGCTGCATGCTGCGCAGAAGAGGGGTACTGTTTATGGAATGTTTATATGGGGCTCCATTCCGGGTGAGAGCCGCATGAACAACCTTCTTCCATGTTGGGTGCAGCAGGCAAAACATCGTGTGAAAGAGGGATGCTGCATGTGCAGCATGTGGAGTTTGGTTCCTGTGAACCAAAGCACCCTGTGAATGCTGGGCACACTTGCCAGGGACTCATACGCAGAGCTATAACAAAGCAGTCCAGAGTCCAGGCTGTGGCTTCCTGACCCCAAAATGGACTCCACACATCCCTTGTCTCTGCTGCTAGGATAGTTCTTCTGGCATTCTTTCTACTTTGGGTGCTTTTTTCCTTCTTGTATGGTAATCATACCTAGTAGGCACTGATAATTTTATCTCCCATTAATTTATCACCTTTTAAAGCCATTTAAGTTGGTGACTATCACCACATCTTAAGGAAAAGCAGAAAATGAGTAATGACTTTCATTTGCTTGGAAATGAAGTTTAACTGAGTTACAGTGTGATCCTCTAACCACTAACTTCAAGTTTAGTCCAATTAAACTCTAAGTAGAGATTTCACTGTTAACCGGTAGCTCAGGGGAGAAAACAGCTAACATAAAATAAATTGCAGTCCACTGAAATAATTTTAAAAATCCAATTTTGAACAATACTTATTGCATTTGTTTGAGATTTAATATTTTATTGAAGCAACTCTCTCTCACACACCCCAACCCCACCACACACAAGTTATATCCATGCCAAAGAAAAGGAACTCAGCTTGTGCTGTGCTACCCACAGCCTTCATGGACTGCAAATACTTCTGTTCTCCATTTTTACCCCAAACATTTAGAATGAAGTTATAATAAAACAGGCATGAGCTGCAAAGACAGCATTTCAGATTTAAAAAGCATAGCTTCAAGCAATAAAACTTTTTTTTAAAGGAGGTTTTGATCATTGGATTACATCCGGTGTTGTCGGAGCAGAGTCATGCAATGTAATTGCCCTTCCTCTTGCCGCCCCCTGCAAACCTGCTCTGGAGGATTCCCAAACCCTCTGTAACAGATTTAGGGCCATGCTGAGGGCTGAGGTGAGGAGAGGGAACCTGTTCCATCAGCAGCCCAGAGATCACTGAACAGAGTACACTGATTCCTCTTTTTATTTTCCATTACAGACTAGAGCTGTTCTCAAGTAGCAGGATCTCAAAGCCTGCAACAATGTTTCCACTTTCTCACCTGATAAAGGACAAATTTAGGAGTAATCTTCTTATAGCCAAGGAGAACTCGAACTTGTTGAAACATAATTCCAATTGGCCACAAGGCAATGAGTGTCAGGACACCTATGAAGCAGTTAATCCATATGGCAGCTCCACTGAAGGATAACTGAAAGCCAAATTGACCAGATACACAAATTATATTAGACGTCCTTTCAACTCCTGCTCTCAGGCAATGAGTATTCATACAAGAATTCCTCATATTTGTGTTTCTTTTTAAACTTAAATAAACTTTCAGCAGCACTGGAAATATCCCCATCAGGCACTGTCTGAAGATTGTTAAACAAACCCTCAAGAAGAAATGCTTCTGGACCAAGTGATTTGTGTGTTTGTTTGCTTAAATTTGATGCTGAAGGAGTCTCAAATAAAAATCAAACACAATTTTACAATCAAAAGCATAAGAACCGGAGAACTCTTCAATACAATCAATCAAAGCAGTAAGGCAGTAGCGAGTTAAACACGTGGCATTTTTCTGCCTGTGGCATTTATTGTGTGCACATGATTCCTTGCTCACAGTACATTGCGGGTGCTTGATGCAACATTGTTATGTACCAGGGCCTCTACCATTCCCTACAATCATTTTTGCAGCCTATTTCAGATTGAGGAGAATTTGGTATTATTTAGAAATTGTGGTATGAAATGTTTGTGTATTAATGCAGTTTTGCTATACTGCAGCACTGCCTACTGGATGTATAATGAAGCAAATAGAAAGGCAGAGAAAGAACAGCCTTGCAGGGGAAACGTGTAAAGGAGCAACTCTTAATCCCAAAAGAATGTGGAAGCAGTAAAGTGGCAATTTAAAACGCTCATGTAGAAAAGCTCCTGGATGCACACAGAACACATTGTTCCATATAACGCATCTGTTTACTTCTAAGTAAATAAACTAATAAATCAATAGTAATGGGCAAGGAAAATCAGAACAAGAACCACAGTGCATAGGGAGTGGTTACCCCCTCCCCTGGGGTCACAGCTAAAATACCCCGCACCCCCACTTTAGCACTTAAACCAACTTAAGCCGAGACAGCATGAAATACAACCTAATAGAAACTTTCCTCCTAGAGGGAGTATCAGTTTTGAGATTTTAAATGAAATTGGGTGATCCCTCACAAAAATCTCCATATGCCAATCCCAATTCTAGTTACCCCCTCAGCATCTGTTATGTATTTAGTAGTGAGGAAATGCGGTATATTAAATGCAATTAAGGTTTTAACATCCTGGGATTAACCTGCTGCTTTAGTGAAGCTTCCTCTGCTTTCATGGTGGGAGGAAGAGTCTGTCCTTTGCATGTGGCTTGGTTTGGGTTGGTTTTTTGCATGGGGTTTGTATTTCTTTGCCTTTCTATATATTCTCTTACACAAGCATAGAGTGGTTGTGTGGTATAGCTGTAGTATAGTAGATTTGCAGCTTTTCATCATGCTTTTGTTTTTGTTTGAAATTTAGTACCTGACTTTCCTGGCTTCAAAAGAACACATGTAAATGGCTGGAAAACGTGGGAGAAGCCCTGGAAAGTAACCAAGTTGAGAAAAGACTTCACTGTCTTTCAATAAGCCTATGACCTTTGGATAACACTATGAGGCCATAGGATTGCATCCTAAGTAATTTATGTGGGAGCAAGGCAATAGAAAACTATTTGGAATATTGGATTAGATTTGCAATCACATTTTTTCTGCACTTTCTTATAAATTGCAGCACTGTTCAGCTCTTTAGTTTAAATACAGCAGGTTTGCTTTGTATTTTTTTTATTTGTGCATTATACATTGACTATGTTATAGCTGTATGTCTGCTGCAGATTAGTCATACAGAACTGTAATTTTTAACAGTTCTTTATGCTTCTCATCACAGGATCATGCAAGACAGTGGTGATTTCTGCCAGCATTCCAACTGACACTTTTTAATTTCAAAACTGTTTAGTGCTTAGGTATACCTTATTTTAATAAACATTTCAGACATTTGCTTACATCAGAAAGGCTGTAATTTCTGTTGGTCCAAAGCACTACTGACAGAAGCAATAGCACAGGACAGAGGAAAGCAAACTGGAAAGTCCCCAGCTTCAGTAAAAATAGTGTTCGCCTGCCAAATAAAAAAAATCAGGTAAACGTCTATAAATTAATAAATGTCAAAAAAGGCTGAGGTCATTTTGATTCACTGACAACTATGAGAATTTGCCGTAGAAGTAGCAAAGGAAAGTGACATTATCAAAGAGTTTTTGGCAGGCCCCAGAGGATGGTGAGAGATATCCTGAAATCTGTTGATATGAACTGAGGATATTTAAAATGCTGATACTGTACTATAATTAGCAAGATTCCTAGTTTATGGATAATATCATGCTATATTTGAGTCCCTAGGTGGCGCTTGAGTTAAACTGTACCAAGAAGAGTCAGGGGTTTCCTGCTACTTTTCTGTGCCTGTTTAAGAAAGACAGCAACATTCTTGTCTAGCTTCTGATGGCTATGTCCTCTAACTATTCTATTACACACAAGCACCCTGATGCCACAGCTATGTAAGATCACAGCAGGACATCAATGTGGCTCTAAGAGTATCCATATTCAATCTTCCCTCCATACCCCAGGTTCTATTTATTATCTCAGGATTGCTTTTAAGAATGCCACATACATGTCCACAGCTGCATTCTATCGCAACCCTTGTGCACCCCACTATGTCCAAATGCAACAGCTCTTGTAGTTCTCCTCTAGTGATGGTGGCTCTTATTCATTTATCAGTGCTGCGTGTTACCGGTGGGGCCAGCACCAGAGCGGAGGGACCAATCCTCATACAAGGGTGACTCCAGCCATTGTTCATGTTTTTATACTGCTCTGGAAGTCAACTCAAACTTTGAAGAATTATTGGAAAAATATATAGTGCTCATATAGGTGGCACTGTTTTGAAAAGAGGACCCAGGACATGCATCAGCACTAGGCTCTGCCATAGTGTAGGGTTCCTGGCAGCTAGCTAAAACTATCATGCGCTGACACTAGTTCTTGCACTGGTCTGACAATCTGTGCCCCAAAGTTTGTGAGTGACTGCTCTGAATATTCACTGCACTCTCTCCTAAACTCAAGCCATATATCTCATAACATTTGCTTTTCTTCCATCTTACAACTATAAAACCACTCTAGATGTATATTTTTTCTTAAACAAAGCAGAAGCCTTTATAATGAATAAGGAGGCCATCATTGCTGAAGTTAGGACAACCCTAATTCTTCACAAAGTGCAATGAAGTCACTTTTCCCCTTCAAACCACTTCCCCTCTTCAGAGCAGAGCTGAGTGAGGGGTGACCTATCTTACACCACTGCATTTCTCAGCACTGCCTTGCTCTGGTTGATAATCCTATTCAGCCACCATCCACAGCTATATTTTTTTCTTTCCTCGCTTTATTTAGATCTCCAGCCTTCTTCACTTTGCACCTCAGACATGCTCATTAATGAAGGCAAGCTGCTATTTAATGTTCTCTGTGCTATATTAATGAACTTTGGCTTAATTTAATTGCTCAATTAATACAGCCATAATTGCATAATAATGATATAATTATAGTGGCAATTTTTACTCCTGCAAATAATTACGGAACTATAAACAGTACAAATGAGCTGGCAGATCACCTCCTCTTGCTTTCTCAGGAAAACTGCAGAACTGCTCAAGAACATGCAAGCTGCTGATAGAAGTATCCATCTCTAACCCACTCTGAGGGTCAAAATGGTTGAGCACTAAGGGGTCTGTAAATGAGTCTCCGAAGGATTTTACATGATTTCAAATTGGCTGTGGGAGTGTGAAGGCAAAGGCAAATCAGATAAGGGGAATGGTATATTCAATCCATTCCTCCCATACATTTGTCACTGTCTAAATTCCCTCACTCAAGGGATCTGGAAAGACCATAGCTCAGTGAGACAGCACATGCTTTGAATACAAATGGTCTGGATTTCCATCCCTGGCAACTTCCAATTAAAACAATCAGGGACAAAGTGACATGAAAGATGCTTCTGCCCAAGGCTGTGAAGAGTTACCACCAATCAGAGCAGTTAATAATGGTTAGCTAGGTGGATAAATAGCCTGACCTGGTATGGTAGCTTCTTATCCTGCTGAAATTACTGTTCATCCTTGTAGGGAAAGACATATATAATTCAAATCAGCTCAACTTGCTTTAGTTGTTATTTGGCTCACATTAAAATCCAGAAATGTGTAGGGAAATTATAGAAATAGGAGGGGACACCACAATGTCAGCAACAACATAAATTGCACTGGAATGTGAGGCGATTCCAAGATGTTGGTGATACTTTGTGGAGATCAACCACTGTCATCACACATATCAAACCTGCTGTAACTCTGATATAAAGGTATGGAGGGATAGAACAGTGGTGAGAATATACCCTCGAATCCTGGCAAGGTAGCTGTCATCCCAAATCCACAGGTATATTTTGCCGGTAGCGTCTACATTTGTGAGGACTGATGTTTACACACTGTCCTTGGGATGGACCTATCTACTTAGTCATGCTCTGGATGTTGCGGTAACTGCTTGTACACGTAGCTTGCTGTTCATGGCATAGATTCAGTAGAATTAGAGCAGTGGTTCTCCAGCTGTATTCCAAGACCCCAGGCTTCCTTGGTGGCTTATCAGGGGCTCCTTGGTTAGAGGGTCCTCTACAAGGAAGGAAGCACCATTTCCAATTTCCCCCAGGAATGTGTAGCTACAGGGAGGTTTCGGGTGCACTCTGAGGCACAATGTCAGTTCACAAAGGGAAGGCCAAACAAAGCCAGTCCCTTACCAGCGTGGCCCCCCTGCATACTATAAATTGAGTATGGAACATTTCTTAGATAAGGCATCTTCTGAAACGTGCAAGATGCTGCAAGTGCCTGTGGCACAATCCTCTCTGCTCTGTCTTTCAGCTAATGTCAAAGAGACCATTCAGATCCTGCCTGTTCCCTAAACTATTGCACTCCCTCCACCACCACCACCAGATTATCTCAAGGCCTTCCCAGACCAAAAGCATTGTTTTTAGAAAGTTACTCAAGCTTTGGCAACCTTTGGGACCTGAACTCCAAACTCTTCTCTCTACAGCTATGGAAGGCACTATCAAGCCAGGACCTTCAGTGGACAGTTAGAAGCACGATGGGCAAAGAGACCATCTTCTAGGGCAGTAGTTGTGGGGAATTTCCTTCAATTTCAGAGTGGGTGAGACCAAAGGCAAAAAAGGTGGAGCCAAAATACCTGAGGTTTACTTTTTATTACCAGTATTACCAGTTACTTATTACAAGTAACTAAACTTTTGGAATGGAGCCTTTTAGAATGCAGGGAGTGGAACCTGAAACACCACCCCATAATCAGCAGTCAAAGAAAGGGAGTATGGTCATCTAGGGAATTTCAGAAGTCTGGGCTGGGACTCCAAGCAAGGAGCTTCTTCACCTCCGCTTTAAAGAGCAGAATCAGAATAGTGTTTGAGGGTGTATCCCAAAGGCTTAAGGAAGCAAATGAATACTTCAGTCTAATCCCTGCACTGTCACATTTCACTGTGCAGGAAGGATCCTCTTTCCCTAGCAGAAATGCGGCCCTGGGCAAGCAACAGATCCCCCTTCCTTTGTACTCTGAAGCAATCAGTTGTAACTGAGAGACTTACCTATTGATGTGTACATTTGGAAGGCAAAGGCAACAGCAACAGCATGGTCCCGTGCTTATCTTGAAGCGGCCATTCGCAAAGTATCTGAGGAAGGATTTTTGGCCTGAACACTCCACCATCATCATGAGCAGGAACTTGTGGTTAACGATAGCAAAAAAGCTATCGGGAGGGAGGGAAGAATCCATGTGTTAACACTTATTTGGCACTCTCCAGTCTGTGGACCAGCCTCACACTTCACATGTGATAGCAAAGTCACTTCCCCACACACGTACAGTCAGATGGGTTCTGCATGGGGCTTGGAAATGTAGCAAATATAATAAGCACCCCTTAGCATTTGCCCCACTAATCAGCTACACATAATGAGTTATGTGCCATCTCTGAATTATGGCAACACTATGAATGAAAGCCTCCCAGAATGTCCTGTCCATGGCATCCCCGCTTAGCTGTTCTCAATTCAAGGCTGTGACTTCCTTTATGGAGTCAATCCATCTCTTATTTGGTCTTTTCTTCTGCCTTTAACTTTCCTAGCATGATTTGTCTTTTCCAGTGACTTTTGCCTTCTCATGATATGCCAAAGTATTTTTTCCCACTCAACCCTACCTGGTAACTCCAGAGATAATGGACTTACAGCTTCTATCATTTCCAGAAAGCATGGAGCATATCAGGCTGGAAAGGGCTGAAGACTTCCATACATCCTACTGGTATTTGCATTGTACTCCTGAGATTTTCTTTTTCCGTCTGTTTTCCTATCTCAATCCTTTTCTCCCCTTGACCTGTTTCTTTCTTTATACTGCTGGTATTATAACATTTGTTGGCCAAAGCAGTAATGCTGGCCTTACTTGATTCAAACAGCATTCTGTGGATTTCTTAAAGGGCAGCAATCTCTCAAATATTTATTATTCATGGCTTCTGCCTTTGGCTGAGGAATAGGACAATTATTTTAGTGTTAGCCAACAAAATGCCTCGTAACATCTCTAGTTCAGAGTCTGCAGTGGTAATCAAGGGAGGGGGAGGGGGAATATACAATACTCAACAAAATCTTAGGTAACATGTGGAAAAGTAGCCATGTTTCTTTCACCTGAGATGAATGCAGATCTATCATCTGCAATCACAGCCTTTAACCAAATAATACTTTTAAGCATTTGATGAGTATCTGAATTGGATCAGTACAGTGGCATAATAACTGGATAAGGCTCTAGGTGTTTAACTCTTCTTCTCCTTGGCTGTTCCTGCCTATCTTGGAAACTAAGCAGGGCTGGGCCTGGTGGAAATCTGGATAGGTGACACGAGTCCTGCATTGAGCAGGTGATTGGAGCTGATGGACTGCTAGGCTCCTTCTAGCTATAGATTCTGTGATCAGAGTCTTTTCCTGATCGATACACTCCTCCCACATGTTGCTGTTAGACCAACTGGGATGGGGCAGGGGAGATAGGTTCACTGTGCCTTTTCACTCCAATGGAACTAACCATTCATTCATTTGTTCATTCATTCTCTCACACAGGGGTGCGCGGCGAGAGAGGGGGGCTTAACAAGCATTTCCACAGTAATATTTTATTAATCCAATTTATAATCCCTTCAGTTGCTTAAGTATTGTGCTTTTCTAATTTAAAAAACTCAGGAAATTCTATTACAGTTTTCCTGCAATAATGTCTGGTTCTACCTTATCTTCTAGAATTTTGAAGCTCCTGCTTAGCATGGGAAATGAGCTGTAGTGAGGTCCCACAGTACAAGGGGTACCTCTTCATGATCCTTTTATTGTGGGTGGGGTGGGCAGAGAAAGACCCTTGTCTCTGTTACAATGACTACGCTAGAAGATGGATTTTTTGCACACAACCTTTGCAATCTTCCAACTGATCTTCCAAACTTTCATGCATTATAATATGCATTAGCAATATTTGTCAAACTGATCATGATTGAAACCAAGATAAAATAATTAAACCTCACCATCAGGGATAATTACAAACCATGGCAGTAAAATCAGTTCAGCACATCCTATGGCGATTGCAGTAAGCTCCGATCCTCGGTGGCTTACAACTGGCCAAACCAGGGGAGAAGGAGTGGTAGAGATGATTTACTCTTCCCTGACTTCTGGCTCTGCATCAGTGTGGTTCTATCTGCATCTGCTCCAAGGTCAGAGCAGTGTCTCCAGCAGGTGTCTAGATATGCAAACTATCCTATGGCCCCTCAGGTGCAGCCTAGGGCTGGGATGTGAACTTTTTAGCAGATGAGCTGAGCAGTTTGAGAATCTATCCTCATCCCATGTCAAATTTTAAGTGGTAACCAATAAAGTTGTGGCCAATTCATCCTAACACTGTCACTGTGTAATTATTGGTTGCCTTTCCTGGGGAAGGCCCCCGCACTGGGTGCTTCAGGTACAACCCCAGCTCATCCCACACGCACACCACAAGCACAACCCTTTAACATCCATTTCTTTTATCTAGTTAGCAATTCCTAAACTAAATTAACATTATTCTTCTCATGTAACAAAATCTGATAAAGGATTTTATGTCTGCTCACCAGAAAAGATGTTCTTACATATAGACAGTAATTATATATTTGCTTAATGCTAGCGGCTGTTAAATGGAAAGAGCTTAGAATTCAGAACAGTACAAAGGGTGTGTGGGGGGTGGGGTGGGGTGGGGTGGTTCAGGGGCTGGGGAGGGGAGCACATACACTGCTGCAGCAAAATCTGCAAACATAGTTGAGCGAGGAATCCACATCCCAATGCAAGATGTAGTAGCTATCACCTGGAGGAAGAGAGAGAGAGAGAGAGAGAGTCAGTCAGCCAGCAGGGTTCTCTGGAATTAAACAGATTTATAATGACATTTCAGTGACTGGAATCTGTTTTCTACTAAATGAAGTAACCTTTCCCCTCATTCTAAATTTAACTTTGACCAGAGTTATAAAAAAAGTTAATTTATTCTAAAATTGGGAAGTTGAAAAGTCTCCTCTCTCATTATTCCACCTCCATACCTTAAAAATATGTATCCTCATTTCTGGGCTCCAGATATTTATCTTTATGATCAGTGTGAAGTTAAATGCACTGGAGGTTTCTTGCTCAAGGAGAAGGACTCAGCCAACATGACTCCTAAGAATAAGCTCAGCCACATTCAGTCCAAGAGTGAGTGTTAGATCTGCTCTACAGTTTCTAGGGAATTGGCCAAAGATGCCTGTGGCTTTGATAGTCTAGTAGCATAGGCATAGGGTGTGTCTGGATGAAAATTCTATTACTTTGACACCCTGCCTGATTCTCAGAATTTTAAGAGGACGCAAATAACATTATCTTCCACCTTCCTCCAAATTAGCTGCACAGTGTCTTCTGACAATGCTGGGAAGCCTCCATTTGGAAGCAGCCCACAGATGTTCCCACATTAGGCATTTATTGTGGAACTGCCATGCTTTGTTTACTCATACAATGCAATCACTTGATCATCAAAATCCTGTATTTTCTCTCTAGTGCTTCCATTTCTTTGTTTCTTTTTTTCTTTTTAAGAGTGCCAAAAGTCTTACTTTTTCAGAAAATCAGAAGAACAGTATGTAGGTGCTGGTGCCTTTAGTGCATGCTCAATAGTGCAGCAGGGTTCTGAATTCATTACAATTTAACACATATTTACTATAATCCTTGTGGTGGGTTCCATTCTATGTCCCATTTATTTACTTTAAATCATCTTTTACTCAACAGTAATTACAAACAGTTTTATTGCTTTTTTCTTTAATGAAAGAGGTATAGCATGTTAGCACTATAATGTTATATTTTTAAATATATATATATATTTCAAGCTATTTTAAAATTAGTCACCATTAAATATGTTGCTATCATAGAAGCATTGTTGCATTACAGTGCTATGGTACTATTGTGTTATAATGCTAAACTTGTTCATTTAAAAAAAATAGCCAGAAAAGTGTGTAATGGATTTTAAACATCAAAAGGTACCTGCTATAAGGGTATTAGAGAATTATATGGTTTGCAAAATCAAAATAGCCCACTCTGGCTTCTTTAATACTACCTGGTTTATTTAAACCACAGTAGGCTGCAGTGCATGCTGGCTTGAGCAGATTTGATTCACAACAGCCCGTGGCTTGTGTGAATCTGGCTCAATCTCCTGTTGAGTTATGTAAGGGTAGTTTACCCATCACACATTTTCCACCTCTCAGATTCTCATGAAATTACAAGCCACAGCAGCACAATGGATATTCAACATGGCCTTTGGAATGTGGCACAGACACCACGACAGATTTAAACCATGGTGGGCTGTTTGGTTCTGCAATCCAGCACAAAGTATGTTGAGCTTCCAATGGTTCACTTGCAGCCACTGTGTCTTGCCTATCAGTGTGCATGGAACATAGCTGGATGTACATAAGAGACAGCACACTTCCCAGATGTAGAAAGTCAATGGCAATTTCACTTGTTGCTTGCAAAGATTTGGTAGGGATCAGAATCTGGATGTTCTTACTGTGGACTGCTATACTGAAGTTCCTTTATGTGTGAACTACTGGGCTTTTTGATAATGAATTTATTTTTTCTTCAACTTACTGGAGCTACTCCATTAATCCAAACAAAAATTGACCTTTTGGACGGAGGGATTTTGTGGTAGATGTAGAAAACTTCCTCCACAAACACCAAGATCGCAGTGAATGTCATTAAGGTCAGCATGGCAAAAAGCAATATTCCAGTTAAATCAAGGCCTGAAGGGATAGAAAAGTGTTATGAGTTTAAACAAATGTACTTCTTAAAGAAATGTTATATTTCAGTCTATTGAAGCTAATGAATATGCTTAATATATAAACATTAGTCTTTTCTTTATCGAATAAATTAAATGAAATATTTCACAGTCTTGGGCCTTAGAATTATGCTTCCCACATTGCTATGGCTGTCATTTCTTTAATTGCTAGTTAATAACCTAAAATGGTCATCTGATTTGTCATGGTACAAAATGATGGTTGTTGTTACTGCTGTTGTTACATGTCATCAAGACATCTCCAACCTATGGCAACCCTATGAACACCTCCAAAATGAGCTGTCTTTAACAGTCCTGCTCAGGGTAGCGCCTTACATTGGCAAATCTCTTTGTGGTTTTGAATCAGATACTCATCAGAGCATGGAGGAGATGATATTCCACAAACTGAAGGAGGGAGCAGAGATTGAGACAGAAGAAAGGGGACCCCCAACACACAAAAACAGTTTGGAAATTTGAAGATACAAGCAGCGGGAGACAACATGAAGTTTCTAGGTGGTGGTAGGTGAACTTGGGTATGGGCCAGGGTGTGTTTTCTTTCAGGGAAGACAGTGTTTTATTTAAAATACTGCTACAGGGTCAGTTTTCTCTTAATAGACCTGAATTCCAGGTTCTGAGTCCCACTGGAGAAAAGAAAAGCTTGTAGTAAAGCCAAAACACACAAATGAGACAGGGATGAGCTCCCCACTCTTATACTGCTTACTAAATGACCCCACCTCCTAATTTTATATATATGCTGAAGATCCAGTGTTTACACTGTCCTATTAGTTTAGCATCCAGGCTAAGAATGAGGCTTTCTAATGCATTCAAAGCTGAAAAGAGCACCAAACCAGGGATTTCCTGGCTCTGAGCTTACATTCCAAATCATTTTGCCAGAACAATTTTCCATACAGCCTGAAACTCTCCCAGTGCCAAACTCTCCCTGAAACTGTACAGCTGACCAACTGGTCACATAGAATTTGCTACAGTGGGGCAACTTAGTCAACTATATGGCTCTTGATACTATATGCATTTTTCTTGCCATGTAGATTCCAAAGGTACTTGTGTGATATCAGTATATTCTCTCCTCACTTAGATTAACAGAGTATATAAGTAAGCAAAATAAATGTATTATTATTTCAGGTGCCACAAACAAATTTTGTTAATTTCACTGCACAACACTAATATGGTTGCTTCTCTAGAAAATGTGTTTACTGTAATAAATCACTATAAAGTGATGTTTGTGTATCTAATTACATTCAGAACCAGGATTTCACTTAAAAGTAGGCAAGAACCATTGCTTCTAGGCAAATAACATCTAGCATGATTCTCACACGATCAAAGGGCAATACTAAATCTTTCCCTGCAATACTTTGTGCATTGCTTGTTCATAGATGAGATATTATGGGTGTGAGATACCATACTGATACTGAGAACCCCTTAATATTCTAGGGCAGAGGATGTGAGAGGTTAGTAACTCCATAAACTCTCATCCCCCTCATTCTCTATCTGGAGATTTCTATTCCATTTTTTTCCTACGTAGATTATTTGCTCAAGATAGGAAGTCCAAAATATTGTGATGCAGTGATGCAGCAAGTATACTGTGTCTAGCAGGGTTTGCTAGAAATGTTTCAAAACCAGTTAATCAGCAAATTTTAACCATGCTCTCAGATGAACAGGCAGCATCCTGTAATTCCAAGTATCACATGTGTAGCAAGGCACATGGCTTCTGTTCTACCCTGTGCTTCTTGTTTTGATATCATCCCAGTTTTGTTCATAGCATGGCAGAACCTGATGAAATAAGCTTTAAAAACAAAAACTTCCGGATATCCAAATGTTGGGTAATTGGGGCCTGAGGTGGTTGTATCCTGCCAGCAGCACAATGGGAACAGATTTCCATTTTCCCTTGCAGCCCTCCATGCCCAACCCAGATCTGCTTTGGAGGATTGAGGGACCCTTCCGAGCAGATTGACAGATTGCTAGGTGACCCTGGAGGAAAACAGGAACAGTGCCATTACATATGCTTCTCCCATGCCATTTTATTTGCCTTTCTGAAAGCTAAGGGACAATTCCATACTTCATTTGAGAGCAGCAGCATACAGCATTTAATTTCTAACCTGACTACTCCTAGCTAGTGTGGGAAACCCCTACTTTGATCCATTTAGCTAAAGTTGCTGGTCCTTGATCACATGTCTTACTGCAATTAAACACATTTCTGTTTGTGTCATACCTCTCTTTAATGCAAAAGCTACCAGTGAATCATGATTCAAGGTTGCTATGCATTCAGCATTAGATTCAAATTAATGTATTTTAATGCTATTTAAGTTCTAAATGCTGTTTTATATATTCTATTTTATTGTTTTTATATCCTGTTGTGAAATGCCCAGGGATCTTCAGCTACAGGCAGTATAGAAATGTAATAAATAGTAATAATATAAGAATATAGTAATAATATTAATAATTACTTTTCAGTCCTTTTGGAGAACAGTGGCATTTTCTCCTAATTTAAAGTTAATTTAAACTAACAGCCATTTAAAATGTAGACTCTCTCCAAACTGAACTGAAAAAGACATATATACAAACATTTTAAATCCATCAAGAAAACACCCCAAGTAGGTTCTTTTATCACAGGCTTCTGTTATGAAACAACACTAGGAAAACTTACTTTCCAATATTACATGGGAGAATGGGCGTTCATCAGCAGTGCAGGCAGGATCCAATGTCCTATTATCTACAACTTCTTCCATTTCAAGAAACTTTTTCAGGGGCTCTTATCCCTTCTTTTCTCTCTAGCCATTGGTATGCAGCGTCTTTTCTTTCTCTGACTGCAGCAGCCCTAAGGAAGACAGGAATAGACGGCTGCTAGTTTCTCTTTGTTCTTGCAGTCAAGCTCTGCTGGCTGATTTCTGTGACTAAAAAGTTTGGAAACAGTGGTATTTTGACTCTCCAAATGCCCTGCTTGTTTCTTTTACAATTCTACAAGTTAAGAGCTAGAAATAGTAGGTTAGGTAAAACACAGGAATTATTGAAAAAACACTAGTGGCTAAAGAGTAGGCTAGAAAGGGAGCTTTGAGCCTGAAATGGCTCTCTGATCTGCCTAAGATGTAGCTGTGTATGCCACACCTTTTCCACCAACTGTTACTAGCTTCATTGCCCTCAGCAGGGTGCAAGGTTGAAAACAGCTTATTTCCATAACATTAAGTTCTGTAGAAAGAATGTCATTGTGCTTTGTTGTTTTTACCGATGTTCCATTTTGCTCAGCCTTAAAGAATATTCATGTTTAGGGAGGAAATAAGTACAGCCACAGAACACACACTTGGCTTGAAGGAGGTCCTAGGGTGGATTTCCAGCTTCTTCTGGTAGGAATCAAGTCTGAAACTTGGAGCCACTGTTGCCAGTCAGTGTTGATAATACTCAATTAAATGAGCCAATAATCTGATTCAACATAAGGCAGTTTCCTATGTTACTATGCAGATGTTACTTTAAGCATGTCACTTAAGGATGCTGTTAGAAAGGAAGTGAAATGAATTAATGATAAATCAAACCATATATTGTGGCTTTTAATCTTTCTCCTCAGGAAATGCTTCCCACATTGAATTTTCTTCCAAGAAACCTACACACTCCCTCCTCCTCAGAATCCCAGTATAGGAAACTGGTCTTGGAACATATTCATGAATGCTTCAAGCGTGATGTATGTCACTGAGTACATGTTCTGTAAGAAGAGGCAAATCTTGGTCTCATGTAAATGCTGAACACTTTAGAAGGCGGCAGTTAAGGTGGTTTATGAATAAATATTTCTGTATACAGTAGCAGAGTAACAAAACAGAAATATTCCACTTGCACAAGCATGCAGACTGTTCCAATGACACCAAGGCCTTTTCCATACAAGGCTGTTCACTTCCTCCATCTGCTTTTGGTTTTGTGCCAGAACTGATCTGAGCATTATATAGTGATAGGTGTGAAAGGATGATTTGAAACAAGGGAGTAAAGAGATTTGAAAAGGTAACAAAGAAAATTACTTAGCCCAAAGGAGGGGAGGGGCCAAAATCAGATAGCACAAGGTATGGGGAAAGAGGCAAGTAGGCAGGAGGACCAAATACTTCCTGATTGTTTATTGACAAGCTGGGCAGAACAAAGTGAGCCTATTGTAGCCCACCAGGGGCAGGGATGGATTGGGAAGAAGGGCCGGTGTTGGGGCAACACGGAGTAGGCGGGCAGAAAGAGTGTAAACTCTCAGTACCCTATTAGCCAATTAGGGGAAAGGAGGAGGGAACAAACGGCCACGAGCAGGGTTCAAAAGGGGTGTGTGAACATGTGCTCAGGTGAACAGAAAAATGGGAAGGAAACCATTCCTTTCTGTTCCCTTCATTGCAATAAAGTTTTAAAAAGAACTCTGCATGCCTGGAATATTTTTCTCTTCCAACGGAAAGGAAAGAGTGATTACAACAATAGGAAGCAAGTACTTTCCTTTTTTTTCCGTTACATAATCTCCAGGTGCTACTGAGGGAGAAGGGAAGAGCCAATTACCCAAGGGAGGTGGGGAGCTTGGCTTCTGCTTTAAGAAATAAATACTATATTTTCTCCACTCCACCAAAAGTGCTTTTTAGATACAGAACCAAACCTGGATGGTCATAATGATGTCTAAACAATCTATAAGCCACTGTGAGTAGGGAATGGCAAGTGGACACTAAATGCCTCATACAGAAAAGCCAAAAGACCCAGCCTAAAATAAAGTAATTAATTTTCAGACCTAGTGCACTGTCCTTAATTAAGACTGGTCAAATTATGTTAACACTGAAGGTGGAGAAGCTGCAAACCCCTTCGTATTAAATAATGCATGCTTTACTGTCCTTTCAAAACACACCAAATTAGCCTCCTCACTTTGCCTAAGGCAAGGATAGCCACAATGTGGCACTCCAGCTGTTGCTAGATTGCAGCTCCCATCCTCTCTCACCATGGCTATGCGGCAATGGCTGATGTGATTGTACTCAACAACAGTTGGGGAGCCGCATGTTCCCCACCACTGTTGTCATGGTAGGAATGATCCAGTAGAGTTTGCTTTCATTTTTTGCTGTATATGGAGGGAACTTATGAATATTTTATATGGCAAGATGTCCATCATCCATATGGCTGATATTATTTAAAACAGTAATTTTAATTCTTGCTTTATGGCAAACATGTATATTGGGTGCAGCTAGTTATGGAGAAGAAAAGAAAGAAAGAAGTTTTAAAACCATCTATCAGATGAGACATCATCAGAGTTAAACACAGTGGCCACAATCCAGCAGAGTTAGGTGTACGTAAGGACACTGAAATCAATAGGATTAAGTAGGTCTAACTGTGCTGTATTACGGCCTGTAGCTTTAATTTTAAAACTAACTGGATGATTCAATGCCAGATAATAAAAAGCTGATAACACCTGTGGGGTCTCAGCAATTAGTGCAAGGGTCAAGGATTTTTTCTCCTGCTACCTACAGGGTAATACAATTGGCCAAACACTTTATTGAGGAGATCTTTAAAATCTCTTTTGAGAAATCATGTATTATCTGCTGTTGCAAGAAATATATCATACTGGAAGGACCAATAGCCCAATTCAATACAGAAGCATCAGACTTTTTTTTGCTTGTTCAAGTATATGACTTTAAAGTATGTGTATACTAAACTGCAGGTGACTGCAGGTGGCACAGTGGTTTAAACCGCTGTGCTGCTGGGCTGGTAGATCAAAAGGTCACCCGTTTGAATCTGCACAACGGGGTGAGTTCCCCTTGCTCCCGTCCCAGCTCCTGCCAACCTTGCAGTTCAAAAGCATGCAAATGCAAGTAGATAAAAAGGTACCACTTCGGTGGGCAGGTAACAGCGTTCCGTGCACTTTGGTGTTTAGTCATGCCGGCCACATGACCATGGAGACTGTCTGTGGACCAACGCTGGCTCCCTCGGCTCGGAAACAGAGATGAGCACCGCCCCCGAGAGTCAGGCATGACTGGACTTAATGTCAAGGGGAAACCTTTACTTTTACCTTTATACTAAACTGGTAACATTTTAAAAAATTGTTCAGGAAATGTCTCATCCTGGAAAAGTATATGCTTTAAAATCATTCTAGCCTGGTGTAGTAGCATTTGAAACAATACAGCTGGGCTCCCTGCTGAATATCCAGCACTGGAGTGCTATGTCTAATTTCAGTTGAGCAGTTCTAAGAAAGCTTGATAGGCTTGCAGAAAGTCATTTTAAAAATGATACTATAAGTATAGGCCATGAATTAGCCTAAATTAAACACTATTTCTATGGAAGCATATGTTTAAATCCAATGCACTGAAATCAAAGGGAGTTCTGATCTGAGATGAGTTCTTGTAATTGCTTGAAATGCATGTTAGCTGCTAAGCTGTTCTGAAGTACAGAGAATGACCTTTTCAAGTATTCAGGCTTTCCTGATTCTGTATGGAAGCTGGGCAATATTAAGTACTTATATGTTCCTAATTTCTACAGTTACAAATTGGTACCATCTGTACAAATATAACCTTGATAACATCTTAAACCTTTCCTGGACCATGCCACTACATGCTGCAGGTACGGCATGCTTGAAGTAGTGTTACTAAGTACAAATTACTCATGAGAATTACCAATTCCAAAATGCGTATGTTGGGGGAAATGTCTATGTTTCTGAATGTGAGTTTTCATTCTCTCACAGGGGCATATTCTTACATGCATCTCCAAAGGTACCCCACCATAGAGTCCATTGCAGTAATCTAACCTGGTGGTTACCAGAGGATAGACTACTGAGTCAGGTTATCCCAGTGCAACTCCATCCACAACAGGCTCAACACCCTCCATCTGGTTAGATGAACAGCATCTCAGCCTTGTCTGGAGTGTGCTTCAGTTTACTTGTCCTCATCTTTCCATTGTCACATTGATGGAGGTTCGCAACATTGTACAAGAGCTAGCAACTAAAACCATCCCAAAGAAAAAGAAATGCAAGAAAGCAAAATGGCTGTCTGAGGAAGCTTTACAAATAGCTGAGGAAAGAAGGGAAGTGAAAGGCAAGGGAGAAAGATACACCCAATTGAATGCAGAATTCCAGAGAATATCTAGAAGAGATAAGAACACCTTCTTAAATGGGCAGTGCAAAGAAATAGAAGAAAATAATAGAATAGGGAGGACCAGAGATCCCATCAAGAAAATTGGAGATATGAAGGGAACGTTTCATGCAAAGATGGGCATGATAAAGGACCAAAATGGCAGGGACCTAACAGAGGCAGAAGAGATTAAGAAGAGGTGGCAAGATTACACAGAGGAACTATTCAAGAAAGAGCTTAACATCCCTGATAACCACGATGGGGTGGTCACTGACCTCGAGCCAGACATCCTGGAGTGTGAAGTCCAATGGGCCTTGGGAAGTCTGAGCAACAACAGAGCTAGTGGAGGTGACAGTATTCCAGCTGAGTTATTCAAAATCTTAAAAGACGATGCAGTAAAAGTGCTACACTCAATATGCCTGCAAATTTGGAAAACTCCACAGTGGCCACAGGAGTGGAAAAGGTCAGTTTACATTCCGATCCCAAAGGGCAATGCCAAAGGATGTTCAAACTACCGCACCATTGCACTCATTTCACATGCTAGCAAAGATCGCCCCGCCCCGCCCCTTGCCCCTTGCCTTCAGTCATCTGAATTAAATTCACCCATTCCTGTCCATTTTAGTTCACTGATTCATAAGATGTCGATGTTCAGTCTTGTCATCCAGCTTGCCTTGATTCATGGAACTTACATTCCAGGTTCCTAGGGAGTATAGATCTTTGCAGCATCGGACTCTCCTTTCTCGTTTCACCTTTCGGCTTTGACCCAGTCACTTCATTCTTTCTGGTGCTGCTAGTACTAGCCCTCTGCTCTTCCCCAGTA